TATCCAGCAGCGATTTGGTAACTAATGAATACATATTGTCTTGCAAAGAGGGTGTTAATGTGAAAGGAACATCCTCACTGATATAACAGATCACCTTCCCATTTAAACCTGAATCATTGTCATTTACACTTATCAGTGCAACTGTTGTCCCAGGTTTAGAGTCCTCGGGAATTGCACTTGAAAAGGATGTCACCTCAATCTCAGGTGCATTGTCGTTCAGGTCCACAATAGTAACTACAACACTTTTTTCTGTTGCTAGTGGGACTGTTCCTTTATCTGAAGCTTTAATGTCAAGTTCATACCTGTCTTTTGCTTCAAAATCTATTAATCCTTTAACAATTATTTCACCAGTATTTGTGTCCACTTCAAAAAGTTTACGTAATTTATTATTTACATTATTGCCGAAAGAATAAACCACCTCCCCATTTAAGCCATCATCTAAATCAGTGGCATTTACTTGCATGATAGTTGTGCCAATTGGGGAATTTTCATCCAGCACCGCAGTATAAGAGTCTTTTCCAAAAATTGGCATATTATCATTTACATCTAAAACATGAACGATGATTCTCAGGCTTCCGGACCGAGCAGGTTTTCCTCCATCAACGGCAGTCAGCAGTAACCTATGACTCCTTGCAGTTTCCTTATCCAGAGGTTTATGTAAATACAAAACAGGAATTTTTCCGTCCTCTCCTCTATCTTTAACCTCCAGGCGAAAATGGTCATTTTGACTGAGTTTGTACAGCTGAATGGAATACATGTCACTGTCTGGATCGTGGGCACCTTGCAGTTGAAATCGCGTCCCGGGTAACGCAGACTCTGATATCTCTAAATGCGTGTCATTGTCAGAGAAGGTGGGGGAGTGGTCGTTCACGTCCAAAATCTCTATAGCCACGTAATGTACCTCTAACGGATTCTCCAACACAGTCTTTATATTGATAATGCAGGTGCTGATCCTTTCGCATACTTCCTCTCTGTCAATTTTTCGGTAAGCATGCAAGATGCCGTCACTGTTCAGTTGGAACAAGGGTTCGGTCGATCCGGACACGATACGAAATCCTCTAGCATTCAAAGCACCGGCATCCAGTCCCAAATCTTTACCGATATTCCCAACAACAGCACCCACCGTGAGCTCCTCGGGAACCGAGTATCGTAGCTGTGCCGAAGCAATATTACAAGTGAGAATCAAACAAAGAATTAAAAAAAAATGGCACTCCCGACCCGCTATGGATCCTCGTCGTGCCATATTTGGTGGAAATATTTTTTTAAAAAAGGGAAAAAAGTGTTGAATTAAAATGTGGTTCTATACGGGAACACACATTTTAAAAAAAGGATGCCAATGGGTGGCATTTGTTGGAGAACGAGTGCAAAATGTGAAGCCGTTCTTCCCGAATCACAAGCGCACCCGAACGAGAAATTGCACCGAAGTGACGTAGAGGTTGTTCAACCGGGAGTCATTTGCGTTCAAAAGCAGTGACACCATGCGAGCTGACACAACAATGCATACACTCTTTAAACATATTAAGTGGCCTGCAGTGATTAAACATGTTCCCTGCTGAGAGCATTAGTCGAATTCCATTTCATTTTAAACGATGTGGAATGGACAGGCAAAAAACATGATTCCACGTAATGCTGATATTCACAATATGTTGGATAAAAAAAGATATTGATGATTAGGTACATGAATAAATTAATTAGCAATAGCGTTGTGCTTACCTCCCCAGCTGTCCTCCTATCAGGGAGCATCAGTGTATTCGCATGGCTTCCCGGGACTATAGTAGATCCTATACTCATTCTGGGTCCAACTAACATGTAGCGTTTCTCTCCAGATCTGTACTGGATGCTGTGACACAGTGTCCCGTCATAATTAGTCTCTTGTAGATATTTAGAAGTATACTCTGTGGATTTAGAGCACTGCATTGCAATCAGCACGATGATACTGATGAGAAAAAGTGTTGAAACTGAGCCCAAAGTTATCATCAGGTAAAAAGTCACGTTATTATCCTCCTCGTCACTTGTTGCACTTTTAACATCAGAAGCAGCAAAAGCCTCTTTGGGCTCCACAACTTTGACAATCACAGTAGCTGTTGCTGAGAGTCGATCGTTCCCGTTGTCTTTCACCAGTATGACCAGTTTATGCTCAGCCTCGTCCGTCTCTGTGAACGAGCGAAGTGTTCTGATCTGTCCTGTATAGCGGTCCAACCCAAAGAGACTGTGGTCAGTAACTTCCTGCAGTGAAAACAGTAACCAGCCGTTATATCCTATATCAGCGTCATAGGCTCTGACTTTAGTCACCAAGTGTCCTGCGTTCACATTGCGGGGAATCTCCTCCACACCTTCAGCAGAACCGTTAGAGCTGAGTGGATACAAGATGACTGGAGCGTTGTCGTTCTGATCCAGAATGAACACGTGCACCGTGACGTTGCTGCTCAGTGACGGAGTCCCAGAATCTGTGGCGACAACTTGGAACTGGAACGTTTTCAGGGTTTCAAAGTCAAAACTTTTTAGAGCTAAGATATCTCCATTTTGTGCATCGATGTTGAGAAATGAAGTGACTTTGTCATTTTCACTTCCATCTCTGAGGATATGATAAGATATAAGAGCATTATCTGTCTCATCACGATCAAAAGCACTAACAGAAAACAGGGAGGCACCTGGCTCATTAGCTTCAGGGACATAAAAAGTATAGGGACTCAGTGAAAATTTTGGACTGTTGTCATTAACATCTGACACCCTGACGCTTATTGTCTTTTCAAATGATAATGCAGGTTGTCCAGCGTCTTTAGCAGTAATTGTCAAATCATAATGTGACTGTTTCTCTCGGTCCAGAGGGGACTTTGTGACCAATGAATACATTTTGTCTTCTAAAGATGGTGATAAAGCAAATGGACTAACCCCACCTATTGAGCAAATTACTTGTCCATTGAGACCAGAGTCCAAATCATTTACACTGATAAGGGCTACTGTAGTTCCAGGTCTGGAATCTTCAGGAATTGAACTTGAAAATGAGGTAACTTCAATTACTGGTGTGTTGTCATTCAGGTCAACTATTTTAATTATGACGCTTTTCTCTGTAGTTAGTGGAGCCAAACCTTTATCTGATGCTTCAATTTCGATTTCATACTTCTCTCTTTTCTCATAATCTATCAGACCTTTAACACAGATCTCACCTGTTGCTGTATTGATATCAAAAAGTGTAAATAGTTCATTACTCACACTGTTACCAAATGAGTAATACACTTCCCCATTTTTACCTTCATCTAAATCAGTTGCATTTACCTGTACTACTGTTGTGCCTATTGGAGCATTTTCAGAAAGCGTAACAGAATAAACGTCTTTAGAGAAAATAGGTGTGTTGTCATTCACATCCAAAACGTTCACTACAATAGTCATATTACCAGTTTTCGGAGGTTTACCTCCATCCAGTGCAGTCAGCACTAATGATTCAGTTCCTGCTGCTTCCCTATCTAACGATTTATGCAAAACCAAAATTGGTATTTTACCGTCTGCTCCTTTATCCCTAACTTCCAAACGGAAATGATCATTTTGACTGAGTTTGTATTGCTGCACTGAAAAATGACCACTGTCTTGATCTCGGGAGGGTTTCAGCTGAAACCGAGCGCCTGGTAACACAGACTCCGAAATTTCCAAACGTTTCTCTTTCTCCGTAAAACTGGGAGAGTGGTCGTTTATATCCAGCACCTCCACTACAACATAATGCACCTCAAGAGGATTTTCTAGTACCGTTTTCAGATTTATTAAACACGCACTGCTCTGAGCGCAAACCTCTTCTCTGTCAATGTTTCGGCTGACATACAGGACACCATCATCGGGATTCACGTGGAAAAGAGGATCTACATTACTAGAAACAATCCGATACTTTCTGGTTTTCAACGTGCTTTTATCCAAACCCAGGTCCTTCGCTATATTTCCAACCACAGTTCCGTCGTTTACTTCCTCAGAGATGGAATATCGTATTTGCGCCGAAGCCACGTTCCACAAAAGCACAGCAACCGCGCAGCCGACAAAAAATCCTCTTGCCCTTCGTTCCTCGTAGCGTCTTTGTTCCATGGTTAAATCCGAAATCACCAGTAGTCTGTCACCAAAACATTAAGAGTTTCATAGTGACGGAATTAAACTCTTCAAGGTTTGAAAATATTCATTGTCGTATTACAACGACGGACACGAGGGAAGTATTTCCAAAGGCAGCCGTCAACTGATAAACGATCCGTTTCATATCCAGCTAAAGAATTCACTAGGGGTGGATCCAAAATGCGCGGATTTGATCCTGCAATCCAGACTTCCTGTACTCTGACACCATGCGATCTAAATTCTCACTACAAAAAAATGTAAAGCCAATAGAACTGTATTTTAATGATCGATAGTTTTTGTAGAACATACAGGAGAATGACTACTGAGCAAAACGTGAATTGTTGCTATCTCTAAACACGAAACCTGCTCCTAAAAAAGTAGAAAGCAAACGTTTTCAAAAATCTAGAGCGCAAGCTTCCATGGTGACATTTGTTTACTTTATTTGATAAAGTTATATGAAATAAAACCATCGACCACTTTTATCCAGAAACAGTTGTGCATAAAACTTTTGTAAAAAACTACACATGGTGAGACTGATTCATGAATCAGTTTCGCAATGCAAGCATAGGAGTAGGAAACGAGTCCAATGCTCGAAAAAAATAGCAGGGAACCAGGAAGAAGTGATGGCCACTAGCGGGACAAGTGTTAATATTCTACTACAAACTATCTTCAAAAGCACGAATCAGATCAATTTAGAATAAATACTAAGTCATAGCAAGCTTTCTCTCAAAACTACCATAAAAAAAATATTTCCAATATCTTGCATTATTGGTGTACACATGGAAATGAAAAGGCAAAAGATGACATATAATGTTTGTTGGATAATACTCTAATATCAACACTTACATTTCTTTAAAAGGCATACTGCCGAAATAATTCATTTGACTTTATTTGCACGGGAAAATAAATGTCTAAACATGTCTTACCTCTCCATGTGTCCTCCTGTCAGGGAGCATCAGTGTATTCGCATGGCTTCCCGGGACTATAGTAGATCCAATACTCATTCTGGGTCCAACTAACATGTAGCGTTTCTCTCCAGATCTGTACTGGATGCTGTGACACAGTGTCCCGTCATAATTAGTCTCTTGTAGATATTTAGAAGTATACTCTGTGGATTTAGAGCACTGCATTGCAATCAGCACGATGATACTGATGAGAAAAAGTGTTGAAACTGAGCCCAAAGTTATCATCAGGTAAAAAGTCACGTTATTCTCCTCCTCGTCATTTGTTGCACTTTTAACATCAGAAGCAGCAAAAGCCTCTTTGGGCTCCACAACTTTGACAATCACAGTAGCTGTTGCTGAGAGTGAAACGTTCCCGTTGTCTTTCACCAGTATGACCAGTTTATGCTCAGCCTCGTCCGTCTCTGTGAACGAGCGAAGTGTTCTGATCTGTCCTGTATAGCGGTCCAACCCAAAGAGACTGTGGTCAGTAACTTCCTGCAGTGAAAACAGTAACCAGCCGTTATATCCTATATCAGCGTCATAGGCTCTGACTTTAGTCACCAAGTGTCCTGCGTTCACATTGCGGGGAATCTCCTCCACACCTTCAGCAGAACCGTTAGAGCTGAGAGGATACAAGATGATCGGAGCGTTGTCGTTCTGATCCAGAATGAACACGTGCACCGTGACGTTGCTGCTCAGTGATGGAGACCCAGAATCTGTGGCGACAACTTGGAACTGGAACTTTTTCAAGGTTTCAAAGTCAAAAATTTTAAGAGCCAAAATATCTCCATTTTCAGAGTTGATGCTCAAAAACAGACCTAAATTATCTCTACTGCTGTCCCTTGGGATATGATATGAAATTTGCGCATTGTCACTATCGTCAAGGTCAGATGCACTCACTTTAAATACTGGTGCTACTGGGTTATTGTTTTCAGTTATATATAACGTATATGGGCTCAGTGTAAACTGAGGTCTGTTGTCGTTTACGTCTGATACAACAACATTTATTTTTTTTTCAGATGAGAACGACGGTTCACCACCATCTTTTGCAATGATTGTCATGTCATAAATGTGTTTTTCTTCTCTGTCCAGTGGT